CACATGCTACGTCTAAATGTATGTAAACGAACAAATGTTTCCATCGTCTCTTATCCGACAAACCGAAAACCATTAATTTCCGTGATGATGTAAGTTCGGTTGGTCAATCGGTTAGTGTCACCATGTACGAAATAATAATATCTTAGCCGATGGACCGGCAAAGAATGCGAAAAACGTGTTGCGCCGGGTACGCCAATTATCGATAAAATAATAAAAAACAAAATTAAAATTAAAAATCGGTAAACGCGGTCGTACGCACATAACTCGTAAACAGACGTGTGTAAACGAATAAACGAAAAGTTTACGTATAGAAATGAATAAATGATTAAAGGCTCGACAAGGTGTATTGTTTTACGTGTTATGTGCGACCGGTTTCGAGGGAAAATTTCATCGACTTAGTGGTGTGCAGAAGCTGACAAAATCGCGATTCCGAATGATAAAAAACCGATAGTAATCGCGTATACATTGTGCGCGCCTCTAAGGACAGAATATTTCGTGCGTTTCCGGTTTCCCGACCGTCCGGATCAGTCTTGTAAAGTATTTACAGATTAGAAGTATTTAAATACTTTTAATGTTTTTAAAATACTTTTTCACGTGTATCTGTAATTAAAGTTCAAATACTTTTTTTAAATACTTAAAAAATATGATCAAATCAGGTTTATATTCTTATCGGGCCAGTGTAGTGATAATATTATTTCGACAGTAATAATTGTCTGTCATTTATATTTTCTATACTCTGTGATACACGTTAATTGCCTCGGTGTTATCGATGATATATGAAAAGAAGAAATGTCAAAATTACGACTGCAGTAGGTAACATAAAAAAAAAAGGGTGAACGAGTGATGAACATTTTGAAAAGACAATGTTTCTTAAATGCAATAAAATTGTTTGGAACTATTAATTGTTAAACAAATAAAACTGAAAAAAATTATGGACACGAGTGTTATTTTTATTTTTATCTGATGACACATATCAAACTCTCAACGAAAAAACAGTGTTTTTAAATGTGTTTAAACGCATGATGAGTATCTGAAATGTATTCGAAATACTTTTGAAGTATGTTTGTATTTGTATCTCTATTCAAATACTTTTTTTAAAATTATTTTTTACAACACCGGTCCGAATCGAACTGGCGTTTTGCGGCCGAAGGCAGTAACGCGCGGCCGGTACGCAACGCGCGATAACAACGTCTCCCCACCAGGACAATTCTCTCGTTTTTTTTCCCGTTGACATCGGCCGCAACACTTTCACCCGTGCACGCGGTCCGATAATGTTTACGCGTTTTATTCGATCGTCGAACGTACACGTGTAGGAAAACGTTTGTTTATTTATACGTTTTTTTTCACATTCCGGATGTCCGTCGTTTTCGCGTGCCGACGACGCGTCGCGGTTAGCCCCGCCGTCCTCGTTCGGTTCGAAACGGAAAATTATGGAAAAACGTGTCTCCATCTCTTCCTGCGGTTGGGATCAGGTTGTCGCGATAAATCGAATATTAATCCCGTCATTCACGCACCCAAGCGTTAGCCGCATATTCGTTTCGTTTACCTCTGTGACGAAATCGTCACCGAACATCCGATGACCGATCGTCAGCGTCACCCGAACACGATGATTCGCACAAGATTTGCAATCGACGAAAAACGGACGGCTAAGCGTGCGCTCGGATACCTGAGGAGTTTTTCCGCGGGAAAATCACGCGTACTAACATGATCGAATGTCGACTATCACGTTCCAAACGTAATTATAGCGCGGTCCACTCGTAAACGTTAAATCAATATAAAACGCGTGAAATTATACAGATTATACATCAAAATTAACACGGTCTCGGGAGCGCCGCGGTAAACGATTCGTCAAGATCCGTGTTACGTTCAAACGTGTACGATTAACAATCCACCGTTTGTTTCGATGAAACTATCAGTTTCTTTTTTAAAGAAAAACGACATTTCCGACGCATAATGTGCACACGGCAACAAGGATTTTGTGTGTTATACACTTATTCGATATTCTAGCGGTCGCAACGGTTTCGTAAAATAAAAATACAACTCCCGTAAGCGAGTACGATTGCGGTGTTGTTGGTATATGTACATGAAATTCAAACATTGGAGTTATTACTCGGTTTTATCCGCCAATATAATAAAATATTCATATTTATTTTTTTAAATACACTACATAATAATAATATACGACCATAAAAACTTCGGAGTTAAAAAATATTTGAGCATAACCAACGTATAAAATACAAAGCGAATAAATGTGCTAGCAGAAAAAAAAATGTGCATTGCTACCAGACATATTTCAAAAATTCAGAATCATATTAAATATCAAATAAATAACAATGTTATAAGCCACCGCGTGAAACATATTTCAACAATTATTGAATTAATTAATTCGCGAATTATCGTATGGTTTGAAAACATTGTACGAAATAAAAATTAAAACAATCAATAACGTATCAATACGCGGATATAATTATGCACATAAATGACTAACATACGGTTTCAACCTTTAACGGCGGACTATTTAAATCATAGTTGTTATTTTTAATATAAATGACAACTTAACAACTATTAAGGTTCTACAGTCCTACGGGGAGAAAAAATGAATAAATATAATATTATCTTAACTATAGGGATTTGATGTTTTTTGTTTTTATCATCATAGATGAGAATTAAAATTCCATAGATCGCTGCTAGGTTCACGAGTAATTCGAAAGGAAACAACCGTGGTGTAACAGTAATACCTCGACATGCCGAACATGCAATACACACACATGTGTATATATAGTTATATATATATATATATATATATATACAGTATAATAAGCTAGCGGAAAGCCGCAGGGAGATCGGAAGTCGTCGTTGTACCCTAAGGCCATTACGAACACCGTAATTCGGTCAAGAACAATGTATTCCGGTACATTGGGTCCGAGAGATCCGCGCATCTCGGCCCATTAAGCTTTTACCCCGTCCCCGGACGGATGCTGCTGATTATTTTCAAACTGTTGCTCGAAAGAAAACACAAACCGCACTACCGCACACATCCGCGTTCGTTTACGGTTACTTTTATCGCGTAAGTTAAACACGCACCGGGGGTGGGGTTACTCGTTTTTATAAACATTGTCTGTATCTGTACGCGGGCGGTTTTCTTCCGTTTTACGATTCAGCACGTGCATTACATAACCGTATTGTTTCCTTGGTTCAACGTGTACGCGTTCGATTTACTCGGAAAACTATCACCGGTAAATCTAAACGACGGTTCTGCACCCCGTCCCCTAGAGAGTTAATACGCGGTCTCGTATATATTGTACAGTTTACAACTTTGTTAATGTACGCGCATGCACGTTTCGATCGCAAAACCGGATGAATCAATGACTGTACGAACTCCAGTATTTCGTGTATAATTGAGCGATCGGTAAAAACGCCGAGAGTGTTAATTCGGTCACAATAAATCAATATACAGCAAGTAATACGTTTAAACTCGCGGAGTCTAGGAGCGCGTAAAAATAATTAACTCTAATCTTCGTTAGCTGAAGTTCAGTTAATTTTTAATTAAAACCCGTACAGTGAGTGTACTACACCTTTAAAACGTTTCGTAACATCCACCATAATGCACCATATACTAGTACTAAGGCCATTGTGTACACAGCACCTACTTAAACTATTTTTCATAATCAATAAAATCCATACGAATATAGTGAAACAAAAAATAATTTTTTAAATACGATGATAACATTAAATATAAACCACGCTTAACGAATCGATACTTTTAAACGTGTAGATGAAATTCGCACATAATCTGAGTTTGAAGAATAGATAAGACTATTGTTTTAAAGTTAATACAAAATGTATTATATTCGAACTGGTCAACGGTAAATTTTATAGTTTTTATATTTTCTCAAAAGCTTTTGAACATACGGTGAATTCGTTTGTTACATCTCCATGAAGTGTACCAACAGCAGAAGCTCGTAATGCGTGCACACGTAATCCAACACGATTACCCTCGAAGTAATCCGTCAACCCGAAGAACGAGATCACAAACGAAAAAACGATCACGACATCACGTCCGGTAAAAAAACACCTACTGTAATGGTGCTTATCGTTCGGTTCGAAGCCAAAGCCTGAGACTAAACAAAAAAATAAACGCGTAAAACATCAGACGTAAAAAATATGCGTTGAGAACATCCTAAATCGTTTGGTTTTAACATATTGATTACGACCGATTAATAGTTCAATTTGTAAAATTATTACGACCGAACGAACGTTCACACGTTTCATTCACCAAACGAACACGTACAGTGCCGATTCGCTACACATCCAATCCCTTCGAACTAGTTGTACACGATACACTGCCATTACTGCAGTATTTGCATGCCTGTTAATATTTTTGTAAATTATGTATTTTTTATTTTTTCGATGTAGTCAGCCGATATCAAAACCGATAAAAACGTCCATACTATGTTTTTAAGTACGTATTTCAAAACGCCTGAGGCGACCCGAGCCATTTTCTCGTTCCAATTAAGCTTTGACAGCGCGCCCGCACGCTTCCGAACTCGTTATTGAATATACTACGGGGGAAAAAAAAAAGTAGAAAAAAAATGAAAGAAAGACATTGGCGAGGAAACCGAAAAGCCTATTAACACAGTAACAGGAAACCCGGAGAAAACATTTCCCGTCGTCCCTGTTTCACGTCCCGTTTTCCCCGCACGTGCCGCACAGATATTTCATCGTCCTAACGGTAATAACAACCGTGTGACGTGCACAGTGCCACGACGGGAAAACGCGACATGACATGAAGACAACAACAATGGAAGAATAAACGGCCGTCGGGACGGATTATCCTTCCGGCCATTATTGTATTTGGTACGCGCGCAAACGTAACAATAATACATAACCGTGTATATGCGAATCTTCGCGGATTTTTTCGGACGAATCCGAGCGAAGGAGAACGTTCGAAACAAAAAAACGACAACTTATGTTATAATAATATGTTCGTAAACACCAACCTGGTAGAAGGATCCAAAAACGTCTTTGTCACCGAGCAAATCCGGTGGAGTATACGGTCTGTTTAACGAGTCTCGTTCTCACTGCAATATCTCGTCCGCGTGCGGCGTTCAAGAGTTTGTCCGGAGGACCGCGCACTGCCGGGGCAGAGAAAGTTAACGATCCGGTCGGACGATCGTGCACCGGGTCTCCCTACCCTTGCCCTCTCTACCGCGGATCATATTTCGTAATAATAATAATAATAATAATAATAATGGTAAAAAATATAATTCTTTCGTATTATTTCACAAAAACGCGCGCGCTACCGCTAAGCGGCGCACAAACGTACGTAACCATGCCCACGTTACGGTGATATTATTATCCTGTTTCGTTTCGTCCTCGTCTCGCGGGACAGAGTGCGAAGCGCCGCGGCACAATGTCATCGAGTGTTGAGCAATCGCGTCGGATGAGCGTTTCGAACGTGAACGGCGCTTTGCAAACATCCAGTGCCACCATAGGCGAAAATAGTGTTTGAGATTTCGGGAGGCTGAAATTCAGAATTATAATTGAACACTTTATCAACACTTATATTGCAAAAATATTTTCCTCGCTACGCGCATGTTAAATGTACCAATCGAAATCATCAATTTACAATACTTAAATATGTATGTTTTAATCACAACAAATTATTAAAAAGTAAATTACATTTGTTCTTCTCTGTTTTAGAAAATTCGTTTAAAATATCCTTAACGTCTATAACAATATATTTTTCTACATTAATTATATCTAATTCATTGAACCGGTTTTGAGACGTAGTAGACCTTAAATATATACTGATCCTTCGCATTGCCGAAAATGATCTCTCACAAGTGGATGAACCGACTGGTAATGTGATTGCTACTTGAACGAGTTTAGATAAATTTGGAAAAACTTGTTGTGTAAGACGTTCATATTTATATTCTGCATTATTTGTAATGCATTATTTTTGAGTAGAAATAGATTTAAAATTTGTTTCATATTATACCGTGATTTAGTGTATGTATGACACAAGTATTTTGGGGAGCTATACAAAGTTTAGGAAGTCTTAGCCCCCCCGCAATTTGCGCTTGTTGGTATCACCGTTTTAAGCAACCGCCGTGAAGACCATACGACCCTGCCACTTTTTTTTTTTTTGTCACCATTGCTCAATATCATGTTGAATTCATGGTTACATACATGTAGCCGGTTTTTTGAATTATGGAAATGTTGTTAAAAATACAATTTCAAGTTAATCCCGCGAATCGTTGAAAAATAGTATAGTTACCTTTTCATATTTTCATTGCTTGTGTACACTTATGAAAATGTATTGAAATATTTTGTGAGGTCATGTCAAATATTTCGAATAATCGAGAATTAGGCATTTCATGGAGAAAAAAAACTCCGTACCCAATTACTGTTGAGGATAATCGAATAAAAAATTAAATTTTTCTACTCCCCTTGAGCAAGAAACCAAAGCAAATACATGTTGTATTATGGTAGTGAAACTTTCGATTTTACACATTGTTGCCGAATACCACGGTGGTAGATTTTCAGTTTAGTCAAATGTTATATGTATACATTTTAAAGCTTTTACCAAGCTTTGTAAAAACGATTTTAATCAATTATACATGTATATATTTATTGGTATTTGAATATACAAAATGAATCAAAATGTTAAAATAATTATTACATATGCTTATTAATAAATAATTACACTCTAAAATTATCCATTTTTAAATAAAAAAATTCAATATTTATTTATCTAATAATGTTTTTTTATTAAATAAAAAGTAATGATGGGTAGTATTCGTTTAAATATAATTTTAAAAACTTTAAAAATACAATTTATTGTGTGAAATCTTCTTAACTTTAAACTCTAGGTGAAATTATTTTCTTTATTGGTTACCGCCTTGCATAAATATTAAAACAATAAACATGTAATGATAAATTAAAAAAAAAATAAAAAAAATCAATAAAAAAAAATCAAACATTATTTCCAATTTTTTTTTTTTACATTCTCCTTATTCTCTTAAACTTTAAAGATTATTTCTAAATCGAATAATAGTTTTATCTACTATAAATACCACTTGAATACATTTTTATATCTAAAAAATGATAGTACAAAACATTAATAGTGTATATTTATACTACCTAACAAAAATTGCTGATAGAATAAAAGAAATATCTTTATAATATCAATACATTTTACATTGCTTTTAATCCAAAAAAAAATCACGATTAAATTGTAAAAAATTTAATTAAATTAAGCGTTCAATCAAAATGTAAAATATTCTATTGAAATACCTCTTACAAAATTTTCAAATATTCAATTCCCAATTTCATATACAAGAGTTTAAACATAATATAAACACGTTTATAGAATGATGAGAAATAAACGAGTATATTTATAATCAATACTACGTGCGTACACCAAGCCATGTGATTTTTATTTTCAGGTTTTTTCATATTATATTTATTATTATATTTATTTCATATTCCAAGAGATTTCAAGAGATTTCAATTTATTAAATTTTACAGTGTTTTTTCTTTTTTTGTAATTGATCTTTTGAATAGATAGTAAACATTGAAGTAATTTTTTTTAATCTTTTAATATATTAACTAAAAATTTTTTTTCAAAATATGATCTTTATAATATAAATAATCAAATTCCATTAATACTTTCTCGACTTACAGACCAGCAAACAAGAATTTGAACTAATTTCAATTGTATACATGTAAACAAAGACTCAAAAAAAAAAAGTTTGTTCACATCAATGCGGTTCATTGGAAATTAATGACTTGTTGGAAAAACGACTGTTTCCTAAGAGTAAGTTGTTGATCTTTAAACCCAAGTAGATCCCTAGTAGATCCCTAGAAGTTTTGCATATTTGTTTTAGAATTTAAACACTTGGTTATATCAATGCTATTATGAACATTTTAAGTTTAAAACCCAAAATATAATATTTTTACACGGATCTATAAATGATAATTATTTTTTATCGTGATACTTGTGATTCTCGTTAAATTATTACAAACACATTGTACGCATGATACATCAATTGTAAATCATATGTAAGATGATAAATATAGGTTATCCATTTCAAGTAATTATTCTATTTCTCGCCGATCTTCGCTCCAATTGGTTTATTTTTTATTTTAGATATTATGATTTATATTCGCTTCTTTGTATAACAGGATAAGAGCGACGCGGGCAGCTTGAGGGATGTTTGAGTCTCGTGTTTTGACGAATTTAATCTTCTCTTGGATAATCGAAAAATAGAGCAATTGCATGGAACAACAACAAAATTGTAAATCTTGAGCAGTTTGACCGACAGCTACAGTCTGATATGCAAGAGGTGTACACATTATGTTACATATAAATATTAGATATTGTACACGACAGTCCCCGACTAGTCAAACAAGATGAGGCGACAGAAAACATCACCCGACACCCTTCAATGGTAGAAAGTTGTTTCGCTCATTCATATAAATAGAAACAGTACAATACATCAATAGAATTTCAGTCAGTCGCTAATATTGTATCCACGTAAGGATACAGGAATATAGGAAAATTTTGTTTCTCATTTTGTTTATTCGCCTCGCACACTTGTGATGACAATTGTGACTGATTAGTAAATACAGGTTAAGTTTACAGAAGAGCGTTGGGTCTAGAACTCAAAATGTTCAGATTGTTCATCCGTCGAAACAGGATCTCGTAATATTATATTGTCGTTCAGAAAATCATATTTTCCTGCCCTCGAGTAAACACTATCGATCATTTTTTTAAACCACGACCCTATGCAGTTACATCACTATTAACCGTCGCCATCGCACTGCTGCAACAGAAATTACGAGTCAACCACATGATTCGTTGGATTCAACTACAAAATATTATATCGCATTGACATGGCGTCACTGTAAAACTAAATATACTATATGTTACGAGTGATATTACCTGAATACAGTGGCGGCTCGTGGACGCTGATGAAGGGAATGCGACTATATGAAAAATTGTCTGTCTGCCACTGCCTAAATAGTAATCAACCCTTGCTACGAACATATTTCCCGCGCACGCACTGATCGCCAATATCGTTGATTTGTTATCTTTCCGGCATTATTGTACTTATACTTCGAGTCTTCTCAAAATGATTACAAAAAGTGTTAGAAATTAATCAAAATAATAAAAATCATCATATTTGCCGAATTTGTTGATCTATCGTTGGATAAAAGTGCAGTTGGATTGGTCGAATTGATTCGGAAAGCTTGAATAACTTCCTTGTTCTTAAGTTTTTATCGTTGAGCTAACTTTCAGCTAGTTGACGTCTTATCACTCTGGGCTCCAGTATTATTGTTATATTTTCTTCAGTAAATAATAAACTTATTTATGTGGAAGATACAAAAAACATTAGGCTGGATAATTTATTAAAAGTTTTAAATTAATGTAAGAAAATCAAAAGCAAATTTTTAGTTTAAGAAACTTATAAAAAGAAGCCACCTATAATTGTATATTATCTACCGTTGACATCAGTAAATATCGATCTAGATACAAATTATACTCATGTTCTTCTGAATCGATAATTTAATTAATACACATGAAAAATAACTATAAAATAAATTGAACAATAAATTTTAAATAAGTCGTATACTAAAAAATAATGTGTTACATATAAATTATCATCATTATGAGCTCATTAAATTTTCATCTACGAAGACCGTACAACAATAGCTAGTTTATTTATCGCATAATCTACACGTCGTAACCACAAATCGAAAATTATCAATTGACATTGATCATTTGACGAAATGGAAACGACGTTTTTCACTTCGTGAAATACGAAAATATTTCGCGAGATGATCACTGGAAATTTATTTTATATTTATCATAGTTTTATAATCATTTTTGTTTGCCATATTTTATAATATGGTATTTATATTATATTTATTTCGGTATTGATTAATTAATAATTATAATATGTTATATATCTCAATAAGTTACATTATAATTAACATTAAATTTATTAAACAGCTAATAATTATTTATTTGAACAATTAAACGAATTATGGTTAAAGCTCTTACATTTAATAGTACCTTTAAAACATGTATAACGTTTAGTTTGACAAGCGCTTTTGCATGCACAACTCAAAAATCTCTAACCT